ACCCCCCCCCCCGGAGCCAGTCCCCCCGCGGCGCGCCTGCCAGTCTCCGGGCCCAGAGGCCCCCCACCTGCGTTGGCCTGGCGGGAGCGGATGAGCTTCCCCAGCAGCTCATCCGGGATGGGCTCGCCCGTCCGGTAGTGGCCGGACATGCGCCGGAGCGGCTCCTTCTCCCATGCCCAGTTCTCCAGCATCTGGGACGGGGCCTCCACAAAGTCACGCTCCACGTGGGTCCCGCTGAACATGGCAAAGTCGGCCTGCGGGAGGAGGGGGTCAAGGCGCAGGACGGACCCACAGCCCTTCCGCCAAGGGGCCTTCTTCCCCGCCCCTCTTCCGCGGCGCTTGGGGCGCTCCCCCCGGCCTCCACCCCAGCCTCACCTGGGAACACAGCTGGTGCATGACGTGGCCAAACTCGTGGAAGTAGGTCTCCACCTCGTCGTGCTGTAGCAGGGAAGGCACCTCCCGCGTCGGCTTGGTGAAGTTGGCCACCATAGCGGCCACGGCGATCTGGCGGCTGCCGTCCGCCAGCAGGCAGCCAGGCTGCAGCCCAAAGCAGGCCGCGTGCCCGTACTTCCCCTCCCTGGTCCGGGGAACAGGGCAAAAGAAGAGGTCAGACCACAAGAGAGAGCCCCAGAGCAGCCAAAGCGGAAGATTGTTTCCAAAGGCTTAGAACTGTCCGTTTCAACCCAAAATGTACCGACCGATAGGCATAAATGATGACCGGTTTATTCTTTTGTAAACGAGCTGATCGTTTTTAGTTTTTTGGAAGACGTTGGTACGTTGACCCCCACTAAAACAGGTTATGGGTTTCTACACATACACCACCTTTGAAAAAGACAAAAGTTATTTCTAGAAACAAACAGAGGTCTTGAATAACGTCATTGTGTCATTTGTTATATGCTTCTTCAGATTATTTCTATTTTTTCCAGAGGTACTACAAAAAATCTGCACGTAAATTTGGTATCTGCATATTTTGCTCACACCATTCCTATGCTGCTTTTAGTTGAGTCAGGACAGGTCCTGCTCTGAATCAGGACCACCGTCCTGCTGAGACAAGGGGGACTTTCTGCCCAGGACTTCGAGGTCGCGCACCAGGCCTCCTTCCTCCCAGTGGCCTGATCCTTTGCGGAAGTGGGAGACGCAGCCAGAATTTCAGTGAGGTTCTGCCCTAGGTGCTAGAAGACGAACGTACATCAGCACTCCGGCCAATACCAAGTCATCGAGCTACAGGAACTGACGGAAGACCTACCGAAACGTGGCAAGCAGCAGCAGAAGCATCAGCCAAGGTCCTGACCAAGCTTTGCTGGCAAACCTGGAGAAGGATACAGCGGCCAACCGACTGGAAGAGGTCAACCCACGCTCCAACACAGAAGAAGGAGACTTAACAGAGCATGCAAACTATTGTACAATTTCGCATGATAGCAAAATAATGCTTAGGATCATCCAACACAGATTAGATTTCCTACATGGAAAGAGAGGTACCAGATGTTCAAGCTGCTTTTAGAAAAGGCCAAGGCTGATGCATGCTGGATAAGTGACAAAGCCAAAAAATACCAGAAGGGAGCGAATATGAATAGAGTTTACCAACTCTAGGACTTTTACCCACGGCAAGGGCCGAGCACTGAAGAAGGCTCGTGGACCCGGCTCCGTCACTCGGTAAAGCCGAGGAGGGCGGAGGGAGCCCAGGCAAGAGCCTGCTGTTGGGGAAGGGGCGTGCGGCAACGAAGCACCCTGTAGAGGTGGGGCGCGTCCAGACCTCGGCAGACAAAGAACCCTCCCGAGCCGGGCCAGAGCCCTCCTCCCCTCGGCTGGCAGAAAGATCCGGGCTCTGACTGCAGGCTGCGGAGCAGCGCGTGAGCAGACCCCTGCTGCTCTCCCGCCCTGGGGGTCGGCCCATCGCTCGGCAGAGAACCTCCACGGACAGAAGCGGCCTCCTGAAAGGGTGGCGACGGGGC